AGGCGGCCTTACGATATAGTTTGACATCGTGGGGAATCTGCATTGGCGGCACCGTGGGCCCAGGAACGCTAAAGAGGGAAAGAAGACAAACACATGAACAAACATAGAAAAACCTATGGGACAACCAAGCAAAAATCGGACAACCTGTAACTGCCGCTATTCTTAAGGTGCAGATTACCGAACAATTGGCATCCTTTTGCAACGGCATTTACAAAAAGGGTCCCTTTTCTGGCGACCGGACGCAAGGATTGTACCTGTGATGGATCCGCAATGGCCCCCACACTTAGGATCCCTTTGTAGCAGCCTGTGCAAGGGGATCATTGTGGCGGCCTTACAAAAAGGTTTTACTTGTGGGTAACCTACAGTGGCGGCACCGTGGGCCCAGGAAAGCTAAAGAGGACAACAAGACAAACAACAAAAACAGTTTAGCCTGGCGAAAGACCCAACCATACGCAGCTGTGAATGCCGCAATTGTGAAGACCATCTTCGCCCACGCTCCCTGTGTGGCCACGGCTTCCCGCCGGAACCTGACATGCTCAAGGACACGTTCGCGGCCGTTTTCGCAGGCGCCGACGACGACGAGGACGGCGCCCCCCTGACCGAGGAGCAGAAGCAGGAGAGGGCTCTGAGAGCCATGACGGAAGCTGCCACTGGCGCCCCTCATGGTTCGTGGTGTTGGGTGCTGGCACCCCCACTAGAGCCTTCGGTGGAGCTCCCTATGGGGGCACGAAACGTGTGAGGGGCGTGCCAAAATCGGTGTGGGTACCGCATGCGAGCTCCGCCACTGGGACCTTAGGTGGAGCTCCCCATGGGGCCACGAAACGTGTGAGGGGCGTGCCAAAATCGGTGTGGGTACCGCATGCGAGTTCCGCCACTGGGACCTTAGGTGGAGCTCCCCATGGGGCCACGAAACGTGTGAGGGGTGTGCCAAAGTGGGTGTGGGTACCGCATGCGAGTTCCGCCACTGGGACCTTAGGTGGAGCCCCCTTGTGGGGCCACGAAACGTGTGAGGGGTGTGCCAAAAATGGGTGTGGCCGCCATGCGAATTCCGCCACTGGGACCTTAAGTGGAGCTCCCTATGGGGCCACGAAACGTGTGAGGGGTGTGCCAAAATGGGGCGAGGCCGCCATGCGAGTTCCGCCACTGGGACCTTAGGTGGAGCCCCCTTGTGGGGCCACGAAACGTGTGAGGGTGTCAATATGGGGCGAGGCCGCCATGCGAGTTCCGCCACTGGGACCTTAGGTGGAGCTCTCTAGGGAGCCACGAAGCAGAGAGCAAAGACAAGGAGGAGGAAGAGGAGGAGGAGGAGGAGGAGGAGGAGGAGAGGAGGAAGGAGGAGACGCGCCGCACCGTGTCTTCAAAACGAGGACCCAACACCACAGGATGGTTGAGAATTAAAAAACTTGTGTTTTCACATGTGAAAACAAGAAAAAGCTAGGACTCGTTGTGACTGTCGCGATTTTGAGGGCGCATGTGACCGAACACTATAAAACCTTGTGCAGCGGCCCTTGTAAAACAAAGCTTTGTGTGTGGCGACCTTGCCAAAAATGCGATGGATCTGCAATGCCCCCCACACTTAGAATCCGTGTGTAGCAATATGTGCAAAGATATTCCATGTGTGGCGACCTTACAATAAGGTTTTAAGCGTTGGGGTTTGCAGTGGCGGCACCGTGGGCCCAGGAAAGCTAAAGAGGGAAAGAGGAACAACATACATATTATAGACCAACCTTTTTCCCCACACGGGAAGCAAGGACAACAAAAACATGACAACCTGTGACGGTCGCTACTTTTAGGGTGCAGATTACCGAACACTTTAAATCCTTTTGGTAGCGGCAGTTACACAAAGGGTCCCTTCGTGGCGACCTTGCAAAAGGATTTGTAAGTGTGATGGAACTGCAGTGGCCCCAACACTTAGGACCCTTTTTTGTAACATCCTGTGCAAGGGGATTCTTGTTGTGGCGGCCTTACAAAGAAAGCTTGAAGTGTGGGGAATCTGCAGTGGCGGCACCGTGGGCCCAGGAAAGCTAATGAGGAACATACGAAAAACACACACAAAACATTGAAGAACGTGTGCTTCAGATGGGAAAGCAGGAAACAACGATGGAAACGTGTGGCAATCGATATTCTTAAGGTGCAAATGACTGAACAATTAAGATCCGTTCGTTGCGGCCTTTTTACAAAACCGCCATACAACAACAACATCCGTGTGTACAGGCCTCTACAAACGGATTCTAAGTGTTCGGTCATCTGCACCCTACAAATAGCGACAGTCACAAGTTGTCCTAACTGTTTCCAGTTTCCCCATGAGGAATCACAAGCTTTTTACTGCGTTTAATGCTGTCCCCCGTCTTCCTCTCTAGCTTCCCTGGGCCCACGGTGCCGCCACTGCAGATCCCCCCCAACTAAAACCATGGTGTAATGCCGCCACAAACGAATCCCCTTGCGCAGGCTGCTACAACAGGAATCTAAGTGTGGGGGCCATTGCAGACCCATCACAATGAAATTCCTATTGTAAGGTCGCCGCAAAAGGGATTCTTGTTGGAAAGGCCGCTACGGAAGGATTTCAATTGCGGGGCCATTTGCACCTTACAAATAGCGACAGTCCCACGTTGTCCTAGACTGTTGCCTCTTTGACATGTGAAAACGCAAGCGGTTCACTGCTGCTCCTGTTGTTTTGTCGTTTTCCTCTCTAGCTTTCCTGGGCCCACGGTGCCGCCACGGCAAATCCACCACACTTAAAACTTCCTTATAAGGCAGCCACAAAAAGGCATCCCCCCGCATAGGCTGCTACAAGAAAGGGTTCCAATTTTGGGGGCCACCGCAGATGCATCACAATGAAAATCCTTGTGCAATGTCGCTTCAAAAGAAATCATGTGTAAAAAGGCCGTCACAACAATATTTTAAGTGTTCGGTCGCCATCACCCTAAAAATAGCGGCAGCCAAAGGTTTTCCTTGTTGTGCCATGCTTTCCTATGTGACATCGCAAGCGTTATATATACACACCTACATCTATATATAACATCTATATACACACATTAAAAACAACAGGTGCTACTGATTTCTTCTCTAGCGTTCCTGGGCCCACGGTGCCGCCACTGCACAACCCCCCACACTTAAAACTTGAGTGTACGGCCGCCACAAAAGGAATCCTTTTTGCGCAGGCTGCTAGAAAATGGTTAGCATAGTGGAAGCTGTTGCAGACCTTCCACAATGAAAATATGTTGTGTAAGGTCACAACAAACATCCTCTTGCAACGGCGTCACACAATGCCTCGGGAGAAGAAGAAGGAACGGGAAGATGAAGAAAAACGAAAGCGACGAACATGCATGATGAGTAAAGTGATGATCCATAGCGTTCCAATCGCCAGGAAATCGATCAAACATGCATGGTTGCAATCATACAAATAGCGGGTCGGACGGGGGGGCCTTGGGAGAGGAGGGCGAGACCTATGCATATCCACTGCTCGCTGGCCAGGCCCGTCCTGAACCCAGAAGCGGTATACGCCACGCCTTCGTGGCTTGGCCAGGAAAGCGCATCGCAGGGGGAGGTGATAAAGCCAGGGGGCGCAGAGCAGATCCGAACAATTTGTTAAAAAAGGGAAATCTATGTGGTGCAGTCCTTGTTGCGGCGACGAGGCGGCGACGGGGCGGCAACGACGGCAACGAGAAGGCGGACCCGACAAACGAGCCCAGACGACGGGCAATGACGACGCGGCGACGGGGCGGCGTCGGCGCCAACAAGGCGGCAGACCCGACAAACGGGCCCAGACGACTAACCCAGACGACGAGCGGCGACGAGGTGGCGACGGGGCGGTGGCGGCAACAAGGCGGCGGATCTGACAAACGAGCTCAGTTCCCTTCGACAGAAAAGCCGGACCCCCCTAATTACGTGCAGGCACTGCTTGGGGAGCTTACGCAACTCCGCGCAGACCTCCAAGAGTAAACGTTTCTGCCACGAGCCTGCGACCCCCCCTCCTCGGTGGTTCAAAGATTGGGCTCTGAATGATGGAGCCCTAGGGGCGAGGTGCCTCGAACAATGTGAATCCACCCTTCGGTCCCTTCCTGTCCGTCTTTGCATCGCCGACCCCAGACTCCCGACGTTATGATTTTTCATAACGTCGACCCCCAGGAGTCTCGACCGACGCCCCAGGGCCGGTTTTTCATCCCGGATTATCTGTCGACGGTCCCGAGGCCCAGCGAGGGCCCCTGCAGGCCAAAACTGCCAAGCGCATCCCGCCGTGATGTTTGTCACGACGCGAACATGTCTGGGCTTCTATCCTCAGGGCCCCCCTCCTCAGTGCCCCGTTTCTGAACCGATGAACTCATCGGCGGAGTGATCTCGGTGGCGCCCGAGAAGGTCAGGGAGGAGGGGGAGGAGGAGGAGGAGGAGGAGGAGGAGGAGGAGGAGGAGGAAAGAGGAGGGAAGAGGGGGAGGAGGAGGGGAGGAGGGGAGGAGAGAGGAGGGGGGAAGGAGGAGGAGGAGGAGGAGGAGGAGGAGGAGGAGGCTCAAAGATCGATTCATGGGGATAGGCTTCCACCCGCCGCTGGCGCCTCGTGCGCAGGGTTCCCGGCTGGCGGCGGCGGCGGCCTCCTACCGCCGGGGCCCGCGCTCGCCGACTGCGCCGCCGGGGCCGCGGCGAGCCCAGCGGCCGCTGGGCGTCGGCCTGCCAGGCGCCAGCGCGTCAAGGTTGATTTGCAAGGAGGAAGAGGAGGAGGAGGAGGAGGAGGAGGAGGAGGAGGAGGAGGAGGAGGAGGAGGAGGAGGAACTCTTTGGAACTCTTTGCGCGCTGACCTCTGTCCTACAAAATTGGGCTCCCCAGGGTGGCGTACCCACTTCTGCCATCTGGGAGCCTAGGGCTCTGCTGCGCGGACCCCGCCGACGCGCAGGCCTCATCCCTCCGACGACCTGGCCTTCTGGAGCGCCTGCAGGGCGCTCAGGGCGCAGGCGAGCTCCCGAAGGGCGAGGTCGTCCTCGCGCCACGCGCCTGCCTCCAGGTCGTCCGCAATCCTCTGCTCGAGGGTGGTCTCGAGCTTCGTGAAGATGGGGTTGACGATGCCCTTTAGCTCCTTCTGCTTGCCCTCGAGCGCAACCTTCCCCTCGGGCTGGGCCTTTTCCAACCAGTCGAGGGTACGATCGAGCGCCTTCCCGATCTTCTCGTCGTCGCCGTCCTCGCAGTTGTCCTTGAACTCCGATTCCAGGAGGGTGTGGTGCAGGGTGGAGCAGTAGTTGCGGAAGCCGTGCAGCGCCTTGGTTCTCTCGTTGGCCTGCTTCGCCAACTCGTCGGCCTGCTTCGACTCCTTCATGGCCATATCCTCAGCGAGCTGCATAGTGCGCTCGGCCTGCTGCATCGCCTCCTCGGCTCTCGTGGACATCTCCTCTGCCTTCATGGCTATCTGCTCGGCCTGCTGCAGCTTCTCTTTGGCCTTCAGGTCCGCCTCCACTCCAGAGCCTGCTCCGACACCACGTTGGCCTGCTCCGTTTCTTCTCGACCTGCAGGGCGGCGTCTGCGATCACCTGGCCCGCCGCCGCGGCGAGACCAGCGTACGCCGCGTGAGCGGCCGCATGCCGGTGCTTGGAGGCACGCCCTAGCCTGCCCGCCACGGCCTGGCCAGGGGCCCCCAGGCTGCACAGGACCTCCTTTGCGTCCTTGACGGTTCGCGCGATCCCCGTCATGTCGCTCATCATGTTGACCACCGCCTGGACCTCGTCCACCGAGCTGACCTTGCACCTGACCTCGGCAGCCCCCATCGCCGCCGAGCCCTGCGCTGCCCCGCGGACGGCCGCGGCCACGAGCGTCGCGAGCCCCGTGCCCGAGATGCCCATGCCAATCGCCGCCGCCGTGGCGCCGAACGCGGCCGCCGCCGCAGGGCAGCCCGCCAGAGCACACGCCAGCGCCGACTCCATCGCTCGCCTCACGCGAGGCGCACCGCCCGAGGACGGCCCGCCGCGGCCAAGCTCAGCCCAATGGCTTGAGCCAAAATGGCTACGGAGGAGGAGGAGGAGAAGGAGGAGGAGGAGGGGGAGGCGGGGGAGGGGGAGGAGGAGGAGGAGGAGGAGGAGGAGGAGGAGGAGGAGGAGGAGGAGGAGGCGGGTGCTCCTGCTCATTAGCATTTGTCACATGTGCGGTGCCTCGCTCTCCTGTGACTTTGCTGTGTCCTTGCCCGTCAACATGTGCCACGTGTGCGGAGCTACGCTGCCAATGCCGCGCTGTCCTGTGGCTTTGCCAAATTGCCCTGTTCCTGGTCGCAACGAACACCGCCACAAGCGGCGGAGCGCTTGAGATAGCCATCCACTAAAATGCTGGTTCGCGTCGCGATGTCGCGTGCGTTGCTTTCTGACGCCGAATGGATCGTTCCATCTTGAACGATGGCGGCTTTGGGATATCGCCGATCTGTGGATATCGGCCGTTTCTGGGCCACCAGCAACATTCAAGAAAGCCCGAGCTGGCGTCGTCGACGCACCGACGCGGCGTAAACCTACCGTACAGTCATCGTGCTACCCAGACCCTCTCGAGTCATGAAAAAACAACGCGGCTTTTTCGTCCGATGAGTTTGCTCGGCCTCTGGGGGCCCTCGGCGTACCCTCGGGACCGTCAACAAGACGATTCGGGATGGAGAACCGGTCCTGGGGAATCTGCCGAGACCTCGAGGGAGGGTATGACAAACCGTGACGTCGGGGATCTGAGATGAGGGGCCCATGGAGGAGGAGGAGGAGGAGGAGGAGGAGGAGGAGGAGGAGGAGGAGGAGGGAGGAGGAGGAGGAGGAGAGGAGGAGGAGGAAGGAGGAGGAGGAGGAGAAAGAGTGAGGAGGAGGAGGAGCGAGGAGGAGGAGGAGGAGGAGCCGTGACCAGCCCGGCCCGCCCACCCCTTCGTCACGACTCGCGCGGGCGCCGTCCAGGGATCAGCCACTCCTGCCTGGGCATTCCCGGGCGGCGCCTGCGCGCCTCGTGGCGTGACCAGCCTTCTCCCCGCCCCTCGCCCCCCCCCCCCCAGTTACCGTCGGGGCGTTGACCTAAGGAACCCTAAGTAAGGAACGAGACCCCTTTTTTCCGTAAGTTAAACTTCGATTTCCTATGGGAAACATAGAGGAGAACCTGAGGCAAGCTGTGAAACACTGAAGGAACGCAGAGCCCCTCCCCAACCAAAAGGGCTCCTTCCTCAGGGCCCCGACTGTACCATGCCAAGAAACACCCTGCTTGCCTCCAGGGTGCCCTGGGCTTCTGGCGTTTCGCTGGCCCTGCGATGGAGAGCGTGACGCTCCCACACGCCAGACATCGATGGACGCCCTGGGGTCTCAGGGTTGGGCTTCTTGTCGAAGGGGCCCCAGGACACACAAATAAATACACACAAATGAAATGATTCCCCATATTTTCCCATACTTCCCGGGCTTTGTCTTCCCGCCCAATGCCCCTATTTTCCCATACTCTCCGGGGACTCGACGATTCCTTGTGTCTGTGTGTTTTTTTTTGTCCCTCCCGACTCTTGTCGAAGGCTTCCTGTGGACTGGCCTCCACGGTTACGCCCACCACCGACAGGGGGCTCAGGCAGCAGCGCCCGACGGAACGCCAAATCAGGGGCCCCGGCGCGCCCCGCCCACGCGCAGACTCCGCTGGCCTGGGCTCCGGGAGGGGGGGGCGGCCCGCCAACCGGCGCCCCTCCCGGGCCCGAGGTGGCAGTCCTCTGGGAGGAGCAAGCCACCACATAGGATCAAACGTTTGGAGGTCCGCGCGGATTTCTTAGATGCGCTCCTGCTCCTGCTCCTCCTCCTCCTCCTCCTCCTCCTCCTCCTCCTCCTCCTCCTCCTCCTCCTCCTCCTCCTCCTCCTCCTCCTCTCCTCCTCCTCCTCCTCCTCCTCCATCCCTCCCCCTCCCTGGCGCGCGGAGCGCGCCAGGGGCGGCGCCAGGGGCGGCGCCGCTAGGGGGGCCCAGCGCAGGATCCAAGAAACCCGCGCGGAGTGCCAGAAGTTTGTGTATGCCGCTTTTTCTTATTCGATTCTCAGCGCCTCGGCTGAAGGGCGGGCCTCAATCATATACGCCAACAACACCACCCCTTCCATTCCCCCCCCCTCGTCCACCCTCAGCTTCCTGTCCCCTTTCCTGGGAGAGGGAGGGAACGAGGGAGGAGGGAGGTGGTTGTGGTGGTGGTGGTGGTGGTGGTGGTGGTGGTGTATACCTCTTCCTCTTTCTCTCCTCTTTCCTCTACTCTTCCTCTCCTCTTCCTCTCCTCTTCCTCTCCTCTCCCTCTCCTCTTCCTCTCCTCCTTCCTCCTCTTCCTCTCCTCGCTCCTGGGAGAGGGAGGGGAGGAGGGTCGTGGTGGTGGTGTATATCCTCGGGCCCCGCACCCTCCCGAGCCAGCAGGGGCCCTGCGACTCTCGGCGCCCTGGCAGGAAGGGGCAGGGCAGGTGCTCCTCGCCCGCCGCCGTCGTCGGACGCTCGCCGCCGCCAGCTCCAAGGGGCTTCAAGCTCCGAGCACAGCCGTGCTTCGGGGGCGCGCACACACATGGATTCACTTGCGATCCATGGATCTGGCGCGCGGTCGCCAAATCCATGGCCATGAGCGGAGGTGCCCTCCCCAAACTGCGGCCGGTGCCGCCTCGTTCGGCGGCGGAAGTCCGCGACTTCCCGTGGACACGGGACCCGTCGCAAATCCACGCCCCCTTGATCCGTGTGTGCGATCGCCTGGTTTCTCACGCCAGGCGATGTTTCCCCCGGCTCCGGGGGTCGAGACCACAACAGAGCGGTGCGGCTGGAAAAAAGTGCAGCAGACAGGTGGGGCCCTGGGGCATCCGTCGGGATTTTCTCGATGCTGCATCTCCTTCGCAGCGCCACATCTCCGGATACGTTTCAGCGGTTGCAGCCCTCGCTCGGCCTCCGGAAACCTCCTCGGGAACCCTTCGATGGCAACTCATTGGAGCCTCCCATAACATCTTGTCGGCTCTTGCGAATCGACGCTAGTCCACGCTAAATCGACGCTGACCGACGCTCAATCGACGCCAATCGACGCTAACCGACGCTAAATCGACGCCATCTCATCGACTCCCAAACGCAAATCGACGCCGATCGACGCTAAAGACGGAATCGCGAGGCTACAGTCATCGGCCTGACCTGAGGAACGATAAATACGGAACGAAGCCCTTTTTTTCCAAGGAGTAACGCGTAAGGAAGGGAACGGTCCATAATACATATCATCGCATAAGGAGCGACAAACAACGCATGCAAGCCTGAGGAACGACAGGGCCCCTTTTGAAAAGCAAGTGCTCCTGGTTCAAGCCGCTCACTGCACGCAAGGCCCCCATGGTTTGAAACCGAAGGGCCCCGCCGCATCGCGCGCCCCGCCCCTCCCCCGCGCGACTCCAGACCTCTGACGCTGGCGCCCCGACAGAGACAGGACGGCCAGCGTCTTCGAGCTCGGCCCGGCTCGGGGGACCCCCTGCGCGACGTCCGTTCGGCAGGTGGGGTCGGGAGCGCCCAGAGAGCAAAAGGGCACCGAGAGGTCAGGGAGGTGGCGATCCGGAAGGGGATCCACGGACGGGCCTGGGCAACCCAGCGGGGCCAGCACTTGCAGCCCGGTGAGAGGCAAGCGGCGACGAACACGTTCGAGCCCGGCAAGACGGGTCGGCATGCGAAGAGACCTGCGAACTTGCCCTCACCGTCTGCCTAGCAACAATACGGCCAGGTGTCCTCGCGGCCTGGGCTGCTCACACCACTTTCACAAGCGCATCGGCATCCTCCTGCTGCGCTGTCACGTGAGAGTCAACGGCCTCGGTGTCTGCCGTCTGCTCTGGCGAGCACGTGCGGGCATGGCAAGCAGCACAGCAACCAGCCCCAAGCATGGCGGGCTGTGGCTGGGCTCGTCGTCCTCGCAACGTGTCTGCTCGCTGGCCCCCAAATGGTATGCCACCGTGGCCTCACGGCTCTTCGCGCGGGCGCCCGGCTCGGCCAAGCCCTCGCCGTCCCAAATCATGATGCGGGTGTCCCTGGCCTACTGCGTACCGTAGGGTACCACGGGTCGAGGACAAGACGGCGGCGTGCGTGCCTCTGCGACTCGAGGGCGCTAACGCATGGGACGCCAGGCGCGCACGAGAAGCCAGGCATGTACGAGGCTGGAGAAAACCTCCAGCGAGCTGTCGTCCTTTCCCTCGTCGTCACCGTCGTCGCGCAGTGAAAGTCTTGGTCTAAAGAAACTTTTGTCGAGAACGAAGCCTCTGTCGCCCCAGTTAAGTTGCGATTTGGAAATTAAACTCCATGGAAAAACGAAAACCACCAACATCGAAGGCAATACATCCCGAGCCCCATCCGAACAAAACGTGCTTACTGCTCCAACGTGCCGAGTATTGACTCTACTGGTCATCCGAAGGCCGGGTCGCAGGGTCCAATCGAGCACCTCATCCAGGCCAACCGACTCCGAGCTCCACTCGGCATCACCTTTCCCCAAGGGGGGGGGGGCTGCATCCATGGGGAAACCAAAAATACCCATACCGCTTGCGGTGGCGACGAAAGCCTCGCAGGATGCCCAAAAAGGAAAACATTCGGGAAGGGTCGCGGTATGGGTACCTCTTCCTCCTCTGAATCCAGTCGTTGGTTGGCGAGCCCTGGCGGCGCCACGACCTTGACGTCGACTCGCTCGGGGTCCCACAGCGGACGTCTGA